ACTGGTAAATAGCTTAAAATTTACACACAGTAAAATTCGCTCACTGATACGTACTTCTGTAGGTTTTTAACAAATACAACAAGTTGTTTAGCATCACCACAGATATAGAACAGTCTCATCATCCCTAAAATTCCCTTACACTGCCCTTTATACTCCATCCCTATCCCCACACCCAATCCTTGGCAACCACTGATCTATTTTCCATCTCTATAATTTTTCCTTTTTAAAGAATGCCATATCGAATATATTGTATAGTATATAGTCTTTTATGTCTGGTTTCTTTCACTGAGCATAATGATTTTGAGATTCATCCATGTGGTTTTATGTAGCAGTAGTTACTTTGTTTTTATTATGGAGTAGTATTTCATTGTATAAATATTATACAAAGTATACAATTTATTTAAACATTTACACATTGATGGACATTTGGACTGTTTCCCATTTTTACTATTATAAGTTGTTATGCACATTTACATATGGGCCTTTTTGTGGACACATATTGTCATTTTTCTTGAGTAAATACTTAGGAGTGAGATTGTTGGATTATATGGTATGTAAATGTTTCACTTTATAAGAAATTTCCAGTTTCCCAAAGTGGCTGTACTATTTTGCATTCTGATAAGTAATTATGAGAGTTTCAGTTGCTCCACATCCTCACCAGCATTTAGTATGGTCTAACTTTTAAATTTTAGCCATTGTAATAGGTGTGCTGTGGTATCTTATTGTGTTTTTAATATGTAATGTTCTGATGATTAATGATATCAAGTATCTTTTCCTGCGTTAATGTCATTCATATATATTCTCCGGTAAATTGTTCAAATCTTTTGACCATTTAAAAAATAAGATTGTTTGTATTATTATTACTGAGGTGTAAGACTATATATTCCAGATATAAGTCCTTTATCAGATAGGTGTTTTGCAAATATTTTACAGTGTGTCTTGTCTTTTTATTTTCTTGACAGTGTCATTCGAAGAAAAGAAGTTTTGCATTTTGATGACAATTGATTTTTTCTTCTATAGTTTGTACATTTTGAGTCCTAAGAAAATATTCACCAAACTCAGGACCTCAACGATCTGTCCCTATGTTTCTGTCTAGAAGTTTTATTGTTGTAACTATTACTTTTTAGGTCTATGATCCATTTTGCTTCAATTAATTAAATTGTGTAGGGTAAGGAGTTGAATTTTGTTGATCTTTGTATTTGTTTTGCTTATGGATTTATTATTCCAGCATTATTTGTAGAAAATGCTGTCCTTTCTCCATTGAATTACCTTGGGACCTTTGCCAAAAATTGATAGGCTATCTACGTACAGATCTATTTTGGACTCTTTTGTTTTTTTCTTTGAGACAGTCTTGCTCTGTCACCAGGCTGGTGTGCAGTGGTGTGATCTCCGCTCACTGCAGCCTCCCGGGTTCAAGCAAGTCTCCTGCCTCAGCCTCCGGAGTAGATGGGATTACAGGTGCATGCTGCCACGCCCAGCTAATATTTGTATTTTTAGTAGAGACAGGGTTTCACCATGTTGGCAAGAATGGCCTCGATCTCCTAATCTCTTGATCTTCCCACCTCAGCCTCCCAAAGTGCTGGGATTACAGGCGTGAGCCACATCGCTCAGCCTATTTTGGACTCGTTACACTGTTCCATCAATCTATATGTCTGTGTTTATGACAATACCACATTGTAGTGGTTACTGTACTTTTATATTGTCTAGAAATCAGGTCATATAAGTTCTTTTTTCTTTTTCAAAATTCTCTTAACCATGTAACTCCTTTGGATTTCCATGTAGATGTTGAGTCAGCCTGTCAATTCTACAGAGAAACCTGGTGGGATTTTTACTGAGATTTAGATCACCTTGAGGATAATTATTTTAATGATATAGATTCTTCCAATCCATGGACATGTTATAGTACTCTACTTTATCCAGGTCTTCATCTTACCAATGTTTTGACATTTTAAGTGTACAAGGCTTGCACATGTTTTGTTAATTTTCTGTTTTGTTCTTTTTGATGTTACTGTAAGTGGTTGTGATTTTTAAAATTCAAGTACAAATGGTTTGTTTCTAGCATATAGAAATACCATTGGTTTTTGTATATTGACCTTGTATTCTGTAACCCTATTAGTTCTGCTGGCATTTTTGTAGATTCTTTAGGATTGTTTAGGTTCATATTGTATGTAGATAAACACAATTTTACTTCTTCCTTTTAAATTACGTTCACTGCAGCTTCAACCTCCTCGGCCCATGTGATCCTCCCACCTCAGCCTCCCAAGTAGCTGGCACCACAGGTATGCACCACCAAACCCGGCGAATTTTTTTATTTTTTATTTTTAGAGACAGGGTCTCCCTGTGTTGCCCCGGTGGGTCTAAACTCTTGGGTCTAAACTTCACTGTGCCTGGCCCAAGCCATTCTTGGTATCAGGGTACAAACTCCTTTGAGAATCTGATAAAAGCTATGAACTCTTTCTAGAAAAATCCCCCATTCAGAATTCTAGGGTAAGGATTCATAGACTTCTTGAATCCCACTCATGGACCTCAGTTTTAAGAATCCTGGTTCATGCAAATCAAGACCACAGTGTGATACCATCTCACACCAGTCAGAATGGGAATCACTAAAAAGTCAGGAAGATTGTAGTGAGGCTGTGGAGAAATAGGAACACTTTTACACTGTTGGTGGGAATATAAATTAGTTCAACCATTGTGGAAGACAGAGTGGGTATTCCTCAAGGATCTAGAACCAGAAATACCATTTGACCCAGCAATCCTATTACTGGGTATATACCCAAAGAAATACAAGTCATTCTACTATAAAGACACATGCACATGTATGTTTATTGGAGCACTAATTACAATATTAAATACATGGAACCAGCCCAAATGCCCATCAGTGATAGACTAGATAAAGAAAATGTGGTACATATATACCATGGAATACTATGCAGCCATGAAGAGGAATGAGATCATGTCCTTTTCAGGGACTTGGATGAAACTGGAAGCCATCATCCTCAGCAAACAAACACAGGAACAGAAAAACAAACACTGCATGTTTTCATTCATAAGTGGGAGTTGAACAATGAGAACACATGGACACAGGGAGGGGAACAACACACACTGGGGCCTGTCGCAGAGTGGGGGGCAAGGGGAGGGAGAGCATTAGGACAAATAACTAATGCATTCGGGGCTTAAAACCTAGGTGATGGGTTGATAGGTGCAGCAAACCACCATGGCACATGTATACCTATGTAACAAACCTGCACTTTCTGTAGATGTATTCTGGAACTTAAAAGTAAAACAAAAAACAAAAAACAAAAAAAACCATCCTGACACATGCTACAATATGGATTAGGTATCTAAAGTAGTCAAATTTCATAGAGAGAAAATGTAGAATGGTAGTTGCCAGGGGCTGGAAAAGGGGGATCAGGAGTTACTGTTTAACGGGAACAGAGTTTCAATTTTCAAAAATAAGAAAGTAGTGGTAATGGATGGTGATGATGGTTGCAAAACAATGTACTTAAGACCAATAAACTGAATATTTAAACATAAAAGGATCCTGATTCATAGAAATCAGTAAACAAAATATGAAAACTTAGTTTACCCATATAAAAATAATACTAATTATGGTTGCTTACTTGACAAATAGCTTATATCTCCATACCATGTGATATAGAAACTATTTTGCATGTAATTATGTCAGATTAGCTTTGTTGTACATTGGATTTGGTTATAAAATTAAACTAGAATCAAGCTCCACTTTATCAGCTGTTGTGCATGTGGCACAGATTGCCTACTCACAAAAGGAAACATTAGAGAGACCATTTCTTAGGAGCTAGAAAGATGCCTTTTTTTTAATCTGTTAAAATTATTATTTTCCAGGTTAGAAATGTGTGCATTTATAGAATAAATTAGTAGGTGAGAAGCCATGAGGCAAAGTGGAAGGTGGTTAGGCTTCAAAAGACAGAAGAACTTGGGCTGGAATCCTAGTACTTTCACCACTTCCAAGTTTAGCAAGTCCTTTAAACCCTGGCCTTCACGAACTTCACTCTTAAAGTGAACAAAAATACCTTCTTGAGAGGCTTCTACAAGGATTTGGGACAATGAAAACAAAGTGCTGAAGCTGTACTAGATCCTAAATAAATGGTGCTATTTATGGTGAGTTGGTGTTACACAACTAGTGGCTATGGCACCCAGAGCTTCCAATGCCAAATCATCAAACTGGGATGAGATTCCTGAGTTCAGGGGACAATTGCTTACTTTGTTGGAGGAGGACCAGATGTGAAAAAGCCTGATAAATGTTGACATTCCCAAGGCGCCAGGGCGCCAGACGTGAGGTTACAGCATGTCCTTCCTTTGCTAGTCCAACGAAGCATGACTTCTTGATGTCACTTTTTTGGCTTTTCAGGAAGCCCGTGCAGTATCTAAAGTGGTTTAATGATCCAAAACTAACACACACAAGGTAAGAACTAGTTCAATAATAACATCTTTTCCTTCCTTACTGTTGACTTCCTTGTTTTTTCTTTCTTTGTTCAGTGAATATCAACACAAAGACTAATAAATCTTCTGACACACTTTTTTGTCCTCCAAGAATGTATTTTCTTGTTTGGCTAAGGGCCATCACCTTCCCTGACTCCTTTGGGAATAATGGGTGCATTTCTTACAGTTACATCCATCGATTTTCAGGCCAAAGTTTTCATGCGTTCAGTGGAAGGCACTGTGGCATGGTGGAAAAGGTAGAGGGCGAAGACTCAGATCACCTGGTCTCCATCATCATTTCTGCATCTGGCTATATGAGGTGGGCTGATGGCTGTGCCAGTTTTCTCATTTGCACCGCGCACGAGGTCCCGCTTTGGGTGAGCTTTTCTCGCATACATAGTAAGCGGTGATTGGCAGGACCCCGGAGCCCTCTTGGGCGTTAGGCTTGGGCTGCACTTGCACTGGGTGGCCTACTGCGACTGTGGCGCCGTGACGGGAACGGCGGGTTGCGCGCGCAGCACCTCCGTCGCCTCCCGATCCAGAGTCTCTGTTGCCAGGAAAACAGAGCGGCGCGCTTTCCGGCGCAGTCGCGGCGCGTCGCAGCTGTCATGGCGGAGACCGTCTGGAGCACTGACACCGGGGAGGCAGTGTACCGCTCCCGGGACCCCGTGCGCAACTTGCGCCTCCGGTAGTCACACCGCCCCAGCCCCGAGGCCCCATGGTTTTATGTCCTTAGATCATTCCAACCTGAACTCGGTGTTCCGAGGCCCCCACTTCTGCTTACAATCCCGACCACTTCTTCTCCGGGCTCCCCACTTCTTTCACTATCCGTACCCCCATCCACTCACAGCCTCCAAGAACCCCTTACAGACCCACCCAAGTGCATTCACGTCCTTGTTGCTCCCAGTGTCTCAGAGCCCTGTGTCCCCAGTACACCCTCTCACCCTCACTCTTCCCCATAGGACCGCGCACCCACCCACCTCCTCTCCGTTGTCTGCACCTAGCACACCTTGGCAACCCCACCTCCTCCGTTTTGTTTCCCCAATCCTTGCTTTGTGTTCATCTCCTGGTTGCGTGTCTAGTAACAAATATTTTGGGCTTTTCTTGACAGGGTTCACCTGCAAAGAATCACATCAAGCAACTTTCTTCATTATCAGCCTGCTGCCGAGCTCTGGAAGGACCTCATAGACTTGGCCACTTTTAGGCCTCAGCCAACTGCCAGTGGGTGTTATGGTGATGATGTGCCATCTACTACTAATTCTGATACTAATCAGAATTGTGGCCAAATGTAGTGAGATAACAAGTACTATACTTCTGATACGTTATAGATTTGCCTGGCAATCTACATTCTATTTGTGGCATTTTTAAAAGAGAAAACGTGTCCCAAACTCTAAATACACATATAAACACTTTAAAAAACAATTTTTAAACTGAGGACTGCTTGAAAAATATACATATAATGTGCATATGAAGATCAACTATATTCTTGTGGTTTTCCTTATCTGGGAAACCGAAAGAATGAGGAGGAGAGGACAGAGTGGTTGTGTCAGGTCACTAGTCTGTCTGCCTTTATTGTTTCTCTTTCTGTTCAGAGCTGTTCCTGGGCAAGGGTGTGGGCTTGCGGGTTGTGAAACATGTGTCTCTGAAAAAGTCATACTCTGCCAGCCAAGAGTGTATTAGATTAGATTTGTTTTCTTTGTTTTTGTTTGTGTTTTGTTTTGAGACAGAATCTCATTCTGTTACTCAGGCTGGAGTGCAGTGGTATGATCATAGCTCACTGTAAACCTTGGTCTCCCAGGCTCAAGCCATCCTCCTGCCTCAGCCTCCCAAGTAGCTGGGACTACAGGCTCACACCATTACACTCGGCTGATTTTTTAAAAGTTTTAGTAGAGAAAAGGTCTTGCTATGTTGTCCAGGCTGGTCTCAAACTCCTGGGCCCAAGTGATCCTTCCACCTTAGCCTCCCAAAATGTTGAGATTACAGGCGCGAGTCACTGCGTCCAGCCAGATTTGGTTCTGTTAGAAAATCATTTATTTGCCTTCACTGTCCTCTCCTGACACTTGGCCTCCTAAATTTCAGTGTTTGTGATACTACATATATGGCTTTAGAAATAGTAAAGATAAAAATGCCAGGGTTATTTTCTAGCAAACGCAGACAGTTTGGACTGCGGAAGGGCTGGCTATTCAGCTTATATCTAAATTTCAGTTTTGTTTTGTTTTTTTTTTTTTT